CGTTGATTTTCATTGTATGCGAAATCATGCCTTGCGCTATCTCGTCTCCCAGTTTAAGTTTATATTCTTCCTTTGTGATTTCATTATTTTCGAGGTTGATTTTGTGGGTTCTTTTGTTCTTTCGTTATTATATATCTTGTATCATCAGATTAGGATATGCGTTTTTTGGTTTGCGTAGCTTGTACTTGGCGATTCCTTCTTTCACCATCGCCAGCTTCGTTGTTGCTTTGATTCTTCTTGTTGAATCTTTCATCAAGGGGCACCAAATTGTTAGCTGGATAAGGTTTTTAGCAGAATTATGGCGAATTGGTGTCATACGAACTGTTTATATATTGTTCTCATAATAATTAATGATACAATGATCTTATAAGAATGATGCATTATAAAGAAATAATCAATATCGATATTGTTATATATAAAATCTTTGTTAGATTGGCACGTGAGGTTATGTGATATTGGGAGACGGGTGATGTCAGGTGAAAAAATATCGGTAGTTATTCATGTGATCTTGGATTTGCACAACTCGTGACACTGTAGATCTCAATTACATGAGAAACCCTACCCTTAAATTTGATTTGATTTTTGAAACCAAAAATGGGACAAGTCACCTGATTGGGCATCTTTAAGTGTCGGTGCACTATAGCATGGAATTGGACTATGTTATCATATAGATCCCGAACCGCGTGATATTGGGCATGGGATCAAATCTCGTGATTAGTGAATTAGCAATGTACGGGGTTAGTGATGCAGCGATGTATCAAGCCATAATTGATGCATTGTTGGGGAGGATTGTCTGATATAGAGTACACCAATAAATCCCGAATATGAAGGTGTACCAATAGAGCGCCGACTAATGAATCAAAACAAAAAATGATTCATTAATTAGCCTTGGCATCGCGATAAGAGTGGGATGTTGATGAGAAAAGAGGAGGAAATTCAATTATAAATAGAGAAGATTTTAGAAGAAAAATTTAATTTAGTTCAGTAGAACTATAAATGTAATGAACTTTTATTAAAAATAAATACTCTTACTTAATATACACTCCTTCGAATTATTATTGCAAAATTATTATTGATCTGTCTCAAGTCCTCTGTTAAAAAAGAAGTCTACCCTGAGACTTCGCAAGAAATAACGAAACTGCGATACTACGAACAACGAATTACCATTTTAGGTAGGAACTAGCGACACCTATTGAAGAGAAAGCAACTCAACAAGAGGTTGGTAGCGATCGACGTAATGACGAATTAGTTAACAGAAAACGCGGAAAAATAACCAGAGATAACCCCATGATCGTGCAGTCTCACGGCTTACTCGGTAGATTTCCCGTATCTAACCCACCCGGTAACAACGGTTATGCATGTCGACCACAAAGTTATACATGTACATTAAAATAATTTTTGATACCTAGGGTTTTATTACTGTTATCATTATGTGGGCTTATAGTTATAAATATTTATCTTTGTTCAGTAAAAATCCAAACCGTTATTCTTGACTACCTGAGATCAAAATTTCCGGTGGAGAAAACGAATAAATATGACTGGCCACACATGATTTATGATTTTAAAAGTTGTAGATCAAGTAAATTAAAATATTTGCAAATGCCATGCATATTATAATGCTTTAATTAAACGGTAATTTGTTTCTTTAATTTAATTTATATGTTTTATTGAAAAAATTCATCTATTTATATTTAGCCATAAAAGATTTCATTGTTCTATTAAGAATTAAAGCTTCTGAATTAAAATTCATTGAATAAAAAAGTTTTATTGTTTACATCAACGCATAACATGTATCGTATTTTGCGAAATAACGCCCATGGGCATCCCGAAATAACGCGGGCCCCTATAACATGGATAAACTTGATAAATTTTTTTAATATAAATTCAATCTCAGCACACTCTCGTACTCTTCTGTGAATCCGTTACAGCCGATTTTGTAAATAGATTTTTCATCTGAAATGACCTCAAGTTTAAACACGATATTATTACTTAGTTTTATGCTCATGTTCACTTGATATGAAGCAAAAAATTTGCACGTGAAACTAATAAAAAATAAAGATCAAACTTTATATTATGGGTGTTCGTCGTGTAATACAAAATGAAGACTTGAAAAGGTAAAGCAAAACGAAAGACATAAATACAAGTGAAAAATAAATAAAAAACATAAAATCAAGAAAAATAAAAACGCTAAATACTTTCAAAAAGTTGATATGGGTCGGTGCAAAAAGATTTGTACCTCAATATAAAAATTAATAATTGCTTCTAATAAAAATCATTCAAATTTTAATCAATCTTTATAATTTTTTTATATTAAAT